TAATTTGTAAATCGTTGAATGGAAAGCAAAAAATCGTCAGCTAAAACAGCTTCTTGCTAACTTTCTGCTTTGTTTTGAATGTAAATGCAATGAGCTTTGTTTCTGCCCGCAATTTTTTGGTCAGCGACGACAAATTTCCAACCTGTTATTGACTATACCTATTTTTAAAAGTAAAAACTGAATTTGACTTTTTTTATATGGTAAGGAATTGTCTCACCAATTTTTGATGAAATAAATCTAAAATTCAAACACTCATTAACAATTCATAAGCTAATTGGCAAATCATGTCAACCATAATATATCACGTGCAGTGGCTTTAAACCTGATAAAACACTCCTAATTAGCATTCTTTATATAAAGAATACTAATAAGGCAGTATCTATTGTAGGCGTGTCCTCATTAGTATTCTTTATATAAAGAATACTAATAAAGCAGTATTTTAGGCCGTATTCTGTGACCCCAAAAGTCGCTTAGAAAACAAATTTCGTTGCCCCCATTCGGGACCTACTTTTAGTTTACATGAATCTATAGTTTTTGATACGCTGAGTACGAATTCACTTGTTGTCACTCGCACAGACCCGCAGTTTTTTTGTATTTTACGATCAAACGTCAACATTTTTTATTAAAATTTCCGCCATTTTGTTCGGGAAACTTCATGTTATATACAGTTATTGTACTAGTCCAAGTCTCTTAGCAGGGGGGTTGCACGCGGTATTACGCAGTTTGTTATCATTCCTCTGAGAAAAATATACAGAAATAAAACAAAAATATAGATATTTTTCCACAATATAAATGCAAAAGGTACTGCTACATGTTTGTAAATACTTAGGAATTAATCTATTATTCTTTATTGCATCAACTTTTGGTTTTTTTGGCTCATCATGATGTGAAATTGCAAAGACTGTCACTATATCCACAAAGACTCACTTTTGTCATTGGTAAAGTTGTTTATTTTACTTATTACTGAAATTATGTACATAATTTTGGCCTTACAATATGAAAAGGCAATTTTCCTGGATACTGTCTACATGAAAATTTTGTCAACAATAAAGTTTTGAAGGTTTTATCCCTCAGAGAGATTTCAAAAGAAATTTTAACTTTGAAATCTTCTAATGGGGTGTTTATATGGAGGTGAGCCAGCCCATGCAGGTACCCATGGCCAAGCTAGCTCTCTTTGCTGAGCTGATTTTATCCCATGTTTACATGAGACTTTTGAGGTGGGCTGTCTTGCCAAAACAAATTACTGGTCTTACCACTATAAATAGTATAATATAAGTAAACATATTTTTATTTTTCAAGATCTCACCTAGGCAGGCCAGATCGGTTCCCATTTAACCACAAGATAAATGTTAGTATAAATCACATAGCGATGTTAGATCACGGCAAAGCAAGCTAGCTCAGGTATCTGGGCGGACTCTCCTCCATATAAACACCCCCCAAGAAAATGAAGAAATGTTATTTATATCAATAGATTGATGTGAATTATGTATTAATTATTTAATGCTCAGCTGTTATATCCAAGATCTAAGTCTTGGAAAAGAGTCTTGGCCAGGCAGGCCAGCCCAAGAGGAAAGAAGGTTTATTTAACTAAGGCATATTGGTAGGTAGTGATGCCAAATTACTTTAAATTTCTATTGTCTGCCTGGTCAAATATAAAATATCCCTGAATCTCCAGTCGTTCAGTTGGTAATTAATGGCAGCTCAAATAGGATTAGAGCTAAGGTGACGATGGATCATGACAATATGTTGTATTTAATATTTTTTTACACATTTAAACCTCAAATGGCTCGATCAATTAATGTTTCTAGATGGCATGACTTTGAGATTTGCTTGTGTGAATATAGTTTTTTGCTTAGCTGGTTTGTTCCAGCAAGCCCATGCTTCCCTCAACAGTCTCACATAAATTGAATAACCAAGCTAGGTTGTTATATGGTAGCTGTATGGTTGGGCTATGTCCTGTGCAGCCACCATTTGCTAATGTAAATACTTAAATAACAATAAAGTAATTAAAGAAATATAGCTAATCTAGGTTGGGTTAACCCCATATAAACAGACCAAAAGTAGGCTGTCTGTCGTAGTGAAAGCCATCTTCCAAAAGTTTTTATTTATAAAGCTCAATGTCCCATAATAGCAAAAATGTTATTATAAAACAAGAAAATGGAACTAATTATGTGCAGATTTATTAAATAGATGAGTTATTTTTATTGAGGTAAACTGCTACTAGGCTATAAAATTAATGGGCAATGGTCTACAAATAGGTCTAACATTTATTAAACAAATATATTGTGCTCCTTATTCATTGTTGACAAAAATTGCCTATTCACATTGCAAGGCCAAAATTATGTACATAATTTCAGTAATAAATAGAATAAACAACGTACTTTACCAATGACAAGTTCTCGTCTTTATGGATATAGTGACAGTCTTTGCAATTTCACATCATGAAGAGCCAAAAAACCCAAAAGTTGATGCAATAAAGAATAATAGATTAATTCCTAAGTATTTACAAACATGTAGCAGTACCTTTTGCATTTATATTGTGGAAAAATATCTATATTTTTGTTTTATTTCTGTATATTTTTCTCAGAGGAATGATAACAAACTGCGTAATACCGCGTGCAACCCCCCTGCTAAGAGACTTGGACTAGTACAACAACTGTATATAACATGAAGTTTCCTGAACAAAATGGCGGAAATTTTAATAAAAAATGTTGATGTTTGATCGTACAATACAAAAAAACTGCGGGTCTGTGCGAGTGACAACAAGCAGTGAATTCGTACTCAGCATATCAAAAAC